AGAAAGCAATATGTGGATGCAACGTATCGCAGTAACTCATTCATTGTGTAACCATGGCAAAGACAAGTAGTTTCGAATGAAGATAATTGATGCGTAAAAACAAGAGGGATAGATATACAACACTTTTCAAGCATTTAAATATTCCTCGATCGACAATTCGTAGCATTATCAAAATGTACTTCGAAACTCATAGTGTTGAGAATAAATTAAAGAATGACAGAAAACTGTTTATTTCTGATAGAACGGAAAGTGAAGTTGTTCGAGATGCCTCGAAGAATCCGCAATTAATGACAAAAGACATTGTCAATGATGTAAAGACGTCATGTATCGACGAAAACAGCCACTAGATGCTTTCAACAAACAGGACTTTGAGCCTATCGCGCAAAAAAAACCTCCCTTGCTTAAGGTTAAACACCTAATGCAGATTAGCTTATGCTAGAAGCCATCTTGAACATAGAGGTAAATATTGGAAGTCTGTTTTATGTTCAGATGATACAAAATTAGAATTATTTGGTTGCATGAACTCCTGTTATATATGGAGGAAAGTGAATGAAGTTCACAAACCCCCAAAAATACCATTTCTACAATTAAGAACAGTGGTGGGAGCATTCTGCTCTGGGGATGTTTTGCTGTTTCTGGATAAGAAGAACTAGTGAGAGTACGGGGTATCCTGAATAAAGAGCTGTATTTGGCTATTCTTAACGATAATATAAAACAAAGTGCACGAAAGCCGTCTATGGGTGTCAATGGACGTCCAACATAACAATGATCCACGGCACGAATTCTTACAAAATATTTAGATGACAGCAAAATTAAGGTATTGACGCATCCCATGCAAAAAACCTGACCTAAACCCCATTGAAAATTTATGGGCATATTTGAAGAAAAAGTAAGAGAAAGAAGTCCTTCGAATTTGGAGATACAAGAAGGTATTGCCAAAGAATAGAGCATAATACTTATCTGAGTGTGTAGTAAGGAATTATCAAAAAGAATTAAAGGCAGTTATCAAGAATAAATGTTGCACAATTGATTATTGCGGCAAGAGAGCCAATAATTTTTTCCTGTGTTAAATATTTTATGACGTTTTTTTTTGTATTATTGTTTGACATTAAAATAAAAATGTGTGTTGTGTGCATCATTGCACATTCTTTCAAATCCCTTATTACATCATTTGTGAAAAAATGCACATGAAGTTTCCATGAAAATTTGAAGTATTACAGCTTTAGTTGTAATTATTTAAAGGGGAAAATAATTATGTCCACAACTGTATATGTATTTATATAAACAGGAGAAAGACGTTATATTGAGGGAGGAGAAATAAAATTCTAGATCATGATAAAGAAAAATCGTGCGAAAGAGATTGTCATGCACATGCGAAGCCAGCAGAAAAAAAAAGAACACTCTGAGGGTAGGTATGCACTTTGGGAGGAGGAGGGATAAGGGTTTTGAAAGGACGTCAATTTCATATGAAATGAAATCGAAAATTGGAATTTAATAAATAAGCAAGAAGAGAGAAACCTCTCTTAAAAAAATAACAAAAAGGAAGAATATAGGTAGGAAATATTGATAACCATTATATTGCCTTTCCTACCATTTTTCTTTCTATCACGATTTCTAATCACTCAAACCCCGTCGTTTCCACTGAGGAATATAGGGCAACAAGTTCCCAACACGCAAGTTATTGCTACTATGGTTTCTATAGAAAATAGATTTTACAGGATTAAGTTGCTAGCTCCATGCCCAACCGGTTTTTAGTTCAGAGTTGTCATTCTAGAGCGACTACCATTCAAGTCTGAGGAGACAGTTTTCCCTACCATTGCTGTGGTGGGTGGGGAATCTGAATTCAGTTCGCGCATTGCACGTAGACCTGTTTTCAGATCTTATGTGAAATCTTTTCTCTGTGACAACATTTTATTGTTGATAAAAAAATGACATAAAATAAACGCCAGTACTTTCTGTTATTTTCCTGAATCAAGTGGTTTCATTTTTCATTTTATTAATATACCAATATTTAAAAGTGTTGTGGAGTGATTTCGCAGTGGAGGCTTGTATTTGTACTAAGTCGGTTCTAAAATAGGTTCGACGTACAAAACGTTAGGAACTTGATATAATAGGTATTACGCAGAGAAATCTTGTTGCGGTCGCTGATACTTTCGTATTCGACTAACTGTCGTCCGCCATCGACTGACTGACCGACGATATTTAGTCACCCGTCCCCCCACGAGGGCATCATGTGGCACAAGGCCGGTTTAACGTGGGATCTCCGAGCCCGTGGGCTCGGCCCAAAATATGCCCATTGAACCCGTATAAACGGGTTCAGGGTCGGTTTACCTCCCCGAAAGAGAATCCGCCCTTCGGCGTAGCCTCCTTCGGCGTAGCCTCCTTCGGCGTAGCCTCCTTCGGCGTAGCCTCTTTCGGGTTCCACCCCGCCCGAAGGCAGAGAGTTCAACCGATCAGCCGATCAGCCGGTCGGCCGACTTCAGACTGAACAGTATTTAGTAACCCCCCACGAGGGCATCATGTGGCACAAGGCCGGTTTAACGTGGGATCTCCGAGCCCGTGGACTCGGCCAAAAATATGCCCATTGAACCCGTATAAACGGGTTCAGGGTCGGTTTACCTCCCCGAAAAAGAATCCGCCCTTCGGCGTAGCCTCCTTCGGGCTCCTCGACTGACTGACCGACTGACTCGTTACTCTTACTACTCCTATTTATTATAGGTGGGAGAGTCTATTAACTATAGAATAGGTATGTTCCACAAAAAGATTATGGGTGTTCCTTTTAATGGTACTCCATCAGGAGTGTTAACATTCTTTAATAGATGGTCGACTATGGGTGTACATTTTAAAGACACTCCCTTATAAGTATTAACACTTCTTAATAGACGGTCAATTAAGAGTGTACTTTTTAAAGGTACTCTCTAGAAGTTAATATTCTTTAATACGCTATCGATTATGAGTGCTCCTTTTAAAGGTACTCCCTTAGAAGTGTAAAAATTCTTTAATAGACTGACCATTATGGGTCTTCCTTATAAAGGTACTGCATTAGAGTGTTAACATTCCTTAATAGACGACTTTTATGGGTGTACCTTTTAAAGTCTCTCAGAAGTGTTAGCATTCATTTATAGACGATCGATTATAGGTGTATTTTTTAATGGTACTCTTTGAGAAGTGTTACCATTCTTTAATAAACGGTCGATTATTGTTGCAGCTTTTAAAGGTACCCTCTTAGCAGTGTTAACATTCTTTAATATACGTTTGATTGTGTGTGTTCCTTTTGTAGGAACTCCCTTACAAGTGCTAGCATTCTTTAATATATGTTCGATTATGGGCGTACCTTTTGAAGATAATCCATTATAGGTGTTACCATTCTTTAATAGACGTTCGATTGTGTGTGTTCCTTTTGTAGGAACTCCCTTACAAGTGCTAGCATTCTTTAATATACGTTCGATTATGGGCGTACCTTTTGAAGATAATCCATTATAGGTGTTACCATTCTTTAATAGACGGCCGAATGAGACTTGAGTCAGAGGAAATCGTCCGAGATCTGATCTTGAGATGGATGGGTTCTACCAGTTCTACTTTCCCAAGTACGAATGAATATCTACCGAGATATGTAGCAGAAGCAGGTCAGTTACTCTGCTGCGCAGCAACCACATAGCCTCACCTGGTTAGAGATTGATGTTTAAGATGATGATGATGATTATCTGACGATTTCCTGGGAACAATCTGGAATAGGCCTGCTGATACGAAAATCCTACTTTTCGTCGTTGATATTCCATATGATTATATCCCATTTATCCATGGAACTGGCCCGTTGAAAATAATTTCACGCGTTAATAAACTTTTGAACAAGAATTGAGAGTGATATTGATTTTATAAATACAATTTGGGAATGTGAGCTATTAATAATATTGGCAGTATCAAAAGAACGTCTTATGCTCGCTTTGGGTTTTTACTGGAAGATTTATAAGAGATGTGTTTCGACCTGTGATTAATAAATAAAAAAAAAACAGTCATTACATTACATCGAAGGTATAATAAAACATGTCCCAACTTAGATTTCATTGGAAATACTTTTCGGGTTGCCCAAATTATTCCACAGACTTATCAGAACTGAATCCGGTTAATTAAAATCAGAACTAATTTTTTTCAAAGTCATTGTGACATTCGTTTGAAATATGGTTTCCATACAAAAAAAAAAAAAAAAAAAAAGAAAAGAAAAAGAAAAATGCGTTCGACACTTCGGCGTGTAAACCAGTTTGTTTCGCTAAACCAATTACAACTGAGTAGTGAGTTCGATCCTCACTGGGCACTCCATAATTTCGGCCTTGTGCCACATCTAATCTACGCTTAGTAAAAGCCTATAAAAGTGGAGAGCGTTCAGGGATTTGCCAAAGTTATTTTTAAAAACCTAGTTTAGTCTGGCACAAGACCTCAACTATAGAGCACCTTGTGAGAATAAAACATTATTCAGCAGTAATAATCCGCGAACCTAGCTGACATTATGCAGATAGCATAGCGATTACCGGCGAGGAAAAGAGAATCGACGATCCGAGTTCGAATTCCAACCAGGCCTGTCGCGTTCATTTTCGTTCTAATGTCCCTGGAAAAGGCATGAATTTATCTCTTCCCTTCCAGATTTGGGTTAAATAACAAGGACTACTCTGAATTCAAAACAGTCGAGAAAGCAACGGAAAACTACTTCTCTATCTTTCCCAAGAAGTCATGGGAAATTGATTGATTCGTTTTTTACGGCTTATCAACCGATTGAAGGCTATTTAAAGCCAGAAGATATTTTTAGTCTGTAAGATTTTTTTTTTGAGAAAATAACGCTTTACCGATACTAATTAACCCATAGCTGCGGAGAGCAGAGGTAGATTCATGCCTTTCTCAAGGGTATTTGCACGCAAGTGAATATAAAGAATACCACTGAAATTTGAACTCCGCTCTCCCATTTCCAATTCCGAGCCATTATCCATTATACCAGTCGTACATTCAAGCTTACAGCACCAAGTATTCTCAAGCGATCACCTATTTAGGTACAGACCAAGGTCGACGTCGCTTACCTTCAGGGATCATACGGGGACCGGTGTTATGAACCTAAGCAAAAAGATTATAAAAGGAAAGAACATAAAACCTTTCTCTTTTTTTCCTCTTTTCAAACATAACATACCTTAGTGACAAGACGTGTCTCATTTCTCTTCCAAGGAGAGGAATTCTTAGCCCCAGGTCTATCATATGTCGTATATAATACACTACATTATATCATGTATAAAAACATTCTCATACAATCGCAATAATATCTCCACAACAATCAATCACATAATATATATCTCTCTCCAAAACATGAAAATATATCTCTTCAGCAAATGATACAATGTCGTTACAAACTGATGACTTCAGCTACAAAGTGTTAACCTAATGCCATTATAAGTTTTTCAAAGAAAAACATTGTCAGTAAATGTTATGGGAACTTACCCATAATAATAATAATGGACTATTCCTGACATTATAAATACTGCGCCTATCAAGAGGTATGAGGAGATTGTAAGATGAGGAGAGATATTGTAAGGACATTGGAATAGTGATACTTGTCGAGACAACATAGTTCACTCTAACCAAATCTGATAGTCATTTCTACTTCTTTGTATTATATTTCTGTTGTAATATATCTTTGTATTCCATACCTGTGTTCGTATTATTCTTTCATTGGTTCTAACCTTGGACCATCAGCGTGGTGCAAGGAACTTGGACCATAACAATATTTTTTTTTTCTCTCTGTAGAAGGTTAGTAATTTGTAGACTAGATTGTTCTCTCCTTTTTTTGAGTTAAATTATATCTAATTCTTTTTTTATACTAATGTTCTCCCAATGCAAGGCCCAAGAGCCACTCACTCAGGCATCGTAAGAAAGGCGAAGTTCGTGTGGTCATGCAGAAAAGATAACGGTTAACACTAAACTTGCGGAGATGAAGATTGTAGTGACTGGGAAAACAAAACGGCAGTTTTTGGAAAGAAGCTGTCCAAATAGAACTTACTTTTTACTATTGGAATACAAAAGGAATAGCAGTGATTGACCTTCGTGTACAGGATGCGATCGGTAAATTATTGCCATTTTATATTTTAATTTCGCGCATGCGCGTTGTTTGCTTTTGATTTTGTCGACGGCACAGTATAGAAGGACCAATTGGGTACCGTTTGTGAGAAAAATAAAAGGACCATAATGCATTTCACGCCGCCAGAAATTTGGAAATGGCCTGCTGTTATGCTTGGCATTCGCGCTGAAAGCTCTAATACGAACATTTCAAAGTGTTTGGGTGTCAATCTGAGGACAGTGCAGAGGATTCGGAAAGAGTTGGACGAGTCTACTGGTGATTACGTAGGTGTTTGGAGTGATGGCGACGTTATGACACCATTCATCTTCCCACATGACTTCAAACTCAATACGGAGGCCTACAGCAAGTGCTTTGAGGAGGTAGTGCTGTACTGGGTCAAGAGGGTTGCTGTTGGAAGATCCTATATCTGATAACAGGACTTTGTACCATACCACACAAGCAGGGGTGCCCAGTTATGTAACCACATTACCACTTACATCTGGCCATCTAACTCCCCAGATTGCAACCCCCTTGATTACTATGTGTGGATGCAATTGAGCGAGAGATCAACAAAACTCCTTGTAACACCAAAGATGAAATGAAGGCAAGAGTTATGGCAGCATTTGCCCAACTTAAACAAGGAAACCACTCAGAAGAGCTTCAGCAGATTCCAAAATTGTCTGGAGATCGTGATTGAAGCCAACTTCAATTTTATTACTCTTTAGTATTTCAAGATATCTTCGTGTAATTTTGGTAAATATACGCGTTAAAATGAGATTTCAGTGTTAATTTCCTTTTGATATAATTTGGACGACAATTTATCCATCGCACCCTGTATGTGAGACGGCGGGTCCAAGTTGTAAGGGTCAGAGGTGATGGGGATAAGGAATGCAGCTCGTCAGAACACATACTGAGGAAATAGCGATAGAGTAGCTCGAGGCTGTGAGAGGAGGGTTGCAGTGTGGAAAATAATTAATTACCCACAAGGCCGCGTAGACGCTTTTTAACCATGTAAGTTCTGCATATAAATATACCTAAAGTCCATGTATGTTGAATTCATTTATTTTGAGATTGTTAAAATTGTCAATCGAATGTCGTTAGAAGTGCATTGACAAGTACTTAACTGATATAGAACTATTTATTGTATAATAATAAAATAAATTATTTGATCATAATTAGCCTACAGACTTATTGATATACCTATCTATGTGTACGTGTATTCGATTAAATCTTAAAATGCGTGTCACAAGTAGTACGTAAAAAAGGGGGGCAAAAACAAGAAAAACATTTAATATATTCACTGTAGCGTCACCCATACGTTCTCATTAAATCGAATTTTCTTTGTCTGTGTACTGTAATATTTGTAAAATCATAAAAAAAAAAAATCCAAAATAAACAACTACACAGAAAAGTCGTTTCCTTTGCGTTAATCTCGCAAATTAACATGATCTCGCGTGACACAACGTTTGAGTCACTTTGCGTACATAACTGTAATTAATGATTTATTTAATGAAGCAATGGTCATTCAACAAATGAACTGGCCATTAATTTCATTAGGTATTTGAGAATAGCCTTTGTTTTACCGAACCCAAAATACTAGCCTCGCTGTTCAAGAGTTCAGTTTTCGAGTCATGACAGGCTTCGCGGTGTGGAAACGCCAAGGAAAAGTTTTAATTAAAGTTCTTTTAAATAGAACACCACACAGTTAAGGTTATTAAATAACAGAGACATTTTAGCGAATGCTAGTACTAATACTACTACTAATTCTCCTACCTTTATTCGATCAATGTGGTTGAGAAAGTAGCTAGTTCTTATAATTGATGAGTGCTGATTCAGATATTTTACAAGCTAGCAATATTCTTTACTAAATGCTTCATGGGCTTCCAAGCTGTTACTGCATTCGTTGTGTTCGAGAAATGTTCTATAAAACGTAGTGTATTTAAGTTTATTGTTAAGCAAGAAGAAAGGATTAAACGCCAACTGCAAGACGACATAATGCATGATTATTAGCAAAAGGATGAACCCAAAATGAAAATTACAAATCGGGAATACCAAAATCAAAATCAAACAAATACAACAATTTAAATATCTGGGAAGTGTTCTAACAGAGAACAAAAAGTGTGACACCGAAATCCAAAGACGCATTGGGATAGAGTACTGAATTATTACATAATATCTGTCCACTTGTATCGCAGTGAATCTCTATCTATAAAAGACAGGATGTGTGTGTGTGGGGTGTGTGTGTGTAACGAATGCACGGCCGCAATTTTTGACGGATTTGCACCAAAATTTACATGCACATGCTCCAAGTTAGCGAGAAGGCCAAGACACAACTCCCATCGATAATGGAAATAATCGAGCTTTCATGCTTCTACGGCAGTTTTTATGTAGTTTTCGGCCATTTTGTACTGGCCAGAGTGAGAGCCTATAGCTGGCTGCCACGAATAGGCAGGAAGATTCTATTGGCCAGCTTGAGAGCCAACAGCTGACTGACACGAATGTTAACTAGCATGCTAGCATGCAAAAAAATCGATAGCTGCATTCGTCACAAGTGGAAAAAATTAAAATCTGCATTACTTCAATTGGCTCATTCGCTTGCTTATACTGCATTACTTCAGTTGGCTCATCCGCTTGCTTAAACTCAACGTTGATTCTGATTCCGCAGAACTGGGTTGGATGTGAAAAAGTATTTGTTAACATTCTTTTTTTCATTCGGTTTTTCCAGTTACGAATCCTTTTTTAAAGCTGATCGTTTTGTGTTCATTTTGTTTAGTTCTTTTTTCGTAACAGATTTAATGTTTAGTATAGAGCTTAGAAAAAATTTGCAGTGTGAGATAGGCAAGAAGTAAGGCATGTAGCAACATCAGCACGGCAAAGGGCACTCCTTTAAAGGCAAGGAAGGGCAAAAATATTTTAAGTCAAGTGATAGTGATTGCTGTATAAGTCGTACGATTTTTGAATCAAGCACGGGCAACGCCGGGTCATGCTGCTAGTACATGATAAACTTCTTAAAGATGAAGTAACAGAAATCTGGTTATACAGAAGGATGCTGAGGATACCATGGACCGAACATGTGAGCAACGACGAGGTTTTAAGGAAAATGGAAACAAAAAGGAAAATTATACTGTTGAAATTTCTGGGGCACATAATGAGGAAGGAGGGTTTAGAAAATATGATACTCACAGGACAGATTGAAGGCAAGAGGAAATCATTGTAAAACGTACTAAAGTAAATAGAAGGCGGAACAGGGTTTTGGAAGAATAACGAGAAGACAACATTTATTAAGAGTAACGAAGGACATTAAATTGTGGAGAGCCATGATCGCCTACGTCCCGATGGGATACGGTACCTAAAGAAGAATCTATTGATGAAATAAAATTTATGATTCCAGTCTGAATTTCTGGAGGTGAAGTTATAATTATTTACCCGATTCACTCGAAGACTATTACTGCCCTCATCTTTATTGCTGTCATTACAACGATTCGGACTTTATTTAATCTACAGGGAGAGATTGTTCGGATTTTGCTGATATACCTATCACTTCTTGTTCTTATTTACTACTGTTCAGTTATTGCTCACCCTGTTCCCAATGAGTCTAAGTCTGCACCAACCTTAATCTACAGGGAAAGTATGTTCTGATTCTGCTGTCCAAGGATCTCTCTTATTGTTCTTATTTAATACTGCTCGCTTACTGCTCACCCAGTTCCGACAAATCTAAGCCAGCATTAGCCTGGCCCCGGGATTGAACTCACATTTACTATGTCACATAATTTATGCTGCATAATGCGTCTCAGCACACAGGGAGTTGATTAAGCAAAGTACACTAAATAATACAAGTACTAATAATTAAAACAGCAAAAAATCTCATAATTAAACTATACTTTTAAAATGAGATACTGAAATGCTTTTAAGAAGCTCTCCAAAAAGATTTAGTCAGATTTAGAGCAATCAGGTAAGCCAAGAACTTTTCAACACTGCCATCTCATTTCACAGCTATACTGAA